AAAATATAACCACAGTTTTAACTATGGCTGCACAATTTGTAAACATTTAACCAATCGCGATTAATTTGACTGATGTTGCCATTGCGATTCATTCACAAAATTGGAGGTATTGGTCATTTTGCATCATCAATATTTTAAAGATCTTAAAAAACAAATATATTTGGTTAAGTGTGTACAAAAAAATGTATAGGCCTGGATCTTTTGCAGATCCTAAAAACTTGAATCAAAATGTAGCCTTATGTAAAATATTGTGCTTGCTGCTATTTGAATAGTCCACCAGTCCATATTGCAATTTAGATATTTGATTAACTGTGCAGCCCTACGGTTAACAAATAAATACATCAGAAATGACATTATTGTTGTTCTGTTTCTATGTCTCCTCCCTCAGGATACAATGTGACGGTGCTGACGCGAGACCCTTCCAGGCTGCCTGCCGACCACAATGCGTTCCGGGTGGTGGTGGGAGATGTGCTCAATAAAGACGATGTGATGAAGACCCTGGAAGGCCAGGACGCTGTCATCATCATCCTGGGCACCAGGAACAGCCTGAGTAAGGCTCCACAGTTTGACCCACAACTATAAAACTAAATGCTAAACTAACTTTCTTTCTGACCTAAAAGGAAGTTTTATCCCAGAAGTAGACATATACGGAATGGCATTGCATAAATGTAATTTAAAATTTAGCCAAGCTTAGTTTACATTTTATTATTCTGATTCTGATGAATTTTTGCTTACACTTTGGTTTTGTTTTAAAGTTTTGAATTGGCTGTCCTACATTTGCAGCATTTCTCTTACTGTTGATTGAGCAATTCTTACATGTTGACACCATTATTGATTTGTTTTGCTATTGTAGAAGTTTTTCTTTGCATTGTCAAAGTTCACATTGCGTAACTGACCATGTACACCTACAAGGAGGACTGTAGTTTGTAATGGTGTAATAATGTAAAACATTTACTAGAGGATGCTAACAGACTTTACAACATAAAGTTCCTGATATCATCTTGTCAGTGTCACACAATCTAAAACACACTGTACATTAATGGTGGAAACAGGATTTACAATATGTAAAATATCTAGACTTTATCAAAAGTGGCAACACTTAAATATGAAAAGGCTAATTTGACACAGAGTAACTCCTTTTAAGGTTGGAAACTTGTGTTTTCATGTATGTACTTTACATTTGCTCTACTGTATTACTATTCCACAGTATACAGTAGTGCAGTGATGACGTAGTGTTATGCTGTCCCAGGAGTTAGCATTGCAAGGGCTTCCTCGAAAGAAAGCAATGATATTTTTAGACTTTGGCAGAAAATAAGCTCTGCGGCAAACATTTATGACTTACATTACTTACGTTTTTTTCAGCGAGATAGTCTCCACATATTAACCCTACTTTTTTTTTTAGCGTACATTAAATGCAATCACCACAGGTGAGAAGCTTTGTTAGGACATAAACTACATCATGGTCAAATGACCTCTTGTCACCACCGCTAAGATAAAGGCAGCTAATGGTTGGCATGATGAAGTTCAGTAGTCTCCATTTTTAGACACATAGGAGCTTTGGACATTCACAGTGGGGTATTTCTGACCTATTGGATCTCGTAGAACAAAACATGAAAATATCTTACGTTTGTATTAACCACAGACCTTATTTCAGCGGCCTAACCAAAGACACTTTTAAAAAAACTGTTTACTGTTTTAAACTATTGTCAAGAACAGTTTTGTGATATGTAGTTACCTCCTACTTCAATACATGAGTCTGTGATCTGTTCTCATCAGGCCTGACCACCATGATGTCTGAAGGCACTAAGAACATAGTTGAAGCCATGAAGTCCCGTGGGATCTGCAAAGTGGTGGCCTGCATGTCAGGTACAACTCACTGTTTATACAAGTTACAACAGAGCGGGTGAGGTGGTGAAGTCTGTGTGATGTTGCTGGGTTAAAAGTGGCCATTGTTTCTTATGTACATTGCATAAGGAAAATTACAAGTTTAATTAAATTGTATTTGATAATAATTGATTGCCCTTTCTTTCTGAGAGTGACTGTGATTATTTTTCCTGATCCTCCCAGCCTTCCTGCTGTGGGACCGCTCTAAAGTGCCGCCCCGCATGCTTCCTGTGACAGAGGACCATGACAGGATGCACACAGTGCTGAAGTCCTCAGGGCTGGACTACGTGGCTGTCATGCCTCCTCACATTGCAGGTCAGTAGGAAGTACAACTTTATTTCAAACAAACCTGGTTGCTGAAAAAGAAATACAGGTAGCCTGATCGAGTTCACATTTTCGGGAAATAGTCGATTAAATTGGAAAACAAGTCTATACAAAATTATTTTTGCTCTAAAGTTAAGTAAAGAATATAAAAAGACAAAATCAAACTTATATCCTGGCAGTGAAGACAAAGCCATTTTTTTTACAGCGCCATTTTTGGCTCCTGAAATTAGATAGAGCATTCATGTTATTTATAGGCTATTATTCATATAGGTGATATAGGAGGTGAAAAAGGTACTAAGATCCTGTACTTAAGTGAAAGTAGTGAAACCGCAGTCTACAAATAATCCATTACATGTAAAAGTCCTTAGTTCAAAATGTTACTAAATTAAAAATAACAAATATTATCATCAAAATGCACTAAAGGTAGCAAAATTAAAAACACTCATTATACAGAATAGGTTTTTTTTTTAACCTTTTTTTATTATAGAATATTATATTTTTCAGTTTTTATCAATCAAAGATACATTATTGTGTTTTTTAATGTTGTAATTTGTCAATGTGCAGCAAATATTGTATACTTTGTGTACTACCAAGTCAATTTGCAGTATATGTATCACATAAACACATCATATTATTCACAAAATAAGTAACTGGTAACTAAAAGTGTTAAATAAAGGTAGTTGAGTAAAAGTGTAAATTTGAAAGACTCAAGTAAAGTCCAAGTTTCCTAAAAGTATGATTATGTACAGTACTTGGTTAATGTACGTAGTTACTTTCCACCATTGATTTAACATGCTTTTTTGTCCCTAACTTTCTCCCTCAGATGACCTTCCTCTGACGGAGAGTTACCTGACGCAGGAGAACATGCTGAAGGGGAGAGCCATCTCTAAACACGACCTGGGACACTTCTTTGTCAAGTGTCTGTCCACCTCAGAGTGGGACGGGAAGGCTGTGGGATTGTGGGGAGAGTATAAATCATCCTGAACAGACAGACAGACAGACAGACATTACTTTCTTTTTTGTTTTAAACTTGGAGATAAATGAAGAGCTAGAATATACATGTTTTGTGTTTTGATGAACCACTAATGCTTCTCTGTGATCACTTTAATAATAATGATTGAGCAGCTTTTTATTGCCGTAGTTATATTTGTATACCAATTTAGATATTAAAGGGCCCATGTCATGCTTTTCCAGTTATTACCCGTCCCCTTGTGTGTTATGAAGGTTTTTATGCATTTAAACGGTCTGCAGAGTCAAAAACCCTCAAAGTACACCCTGTAGCGAGTAAAACTCTAACACAGAAAAGACCTGTCTATACTGCCCTAGAACGCCTCGTTGGAGATTTCTCATTTTCCATTGTTTGCTTCCTGGGTTCTGTGACGTGTGAACACCCAAATCAACAACAAATGAGCGGATTGGCCCAAATGGACCAATCCGCGGAGCTCCTCACACACCNATTTTGTTTGTTTGTTTTTGTTTGTTTTGTTTTTAATTATTATGTGTTAAATGCCTATGTGAAGCAATTTGAATTGCCTCTGTGTCTTAAAATGTGCTATACAAATAGCACATTTTAAGACACAGAGGCAATTCAAATTGCTTCACATAGGCATTTAACACATAATAATTAAAAACAAAACAAACAAAAACAAACAAACAAAATTCATATAGCGATGAAATACTGGCTGCAACTAAAAGTGCAATGATAAAGGCACGGTTAAAGGATCTCAGGATAGGCTGCAGGTTTTTAACGTTGGTTTAAAAGAACCCAGGGTTGGGGCGGACCTCAGAATTGCAGGCAGTTTGTTCCAAGCGTGTGGTTCATAAGAGCTAGAAGCTGCCTCTGCAAATGTAGTTCTGACTCTGGGGACGACGAGTGAACCCGCTCCTGTTGACCTGAGAGCTCTGGCTGGCTCGTAACAGTGAAGCGTCTCTGACATGTAGTTTGGTCCCAATCCATTAAAGGTGGGGTAGGTAAGTTTGAGAAACCGGCTCGAGATACACTTTTTGTTATATTCCATGGAATGCTCTTAACATCCCGATAGCAATGAATATCTGAAGTGCTTTGACAAAAAATCCATACAAAAATGTCATCTGTGGAAGCCGTGGTACTGTAAAAAGCCAGCCCGGCTAAAATAACTGGATGGCCTACCTGCCTGTCAGCCTTCCATCTGTGCACAAACTTATCTCGTGCCCTCATTGGTCATGTGCGCGTTCGTGTGTGTTGGAGGAGGGGCTCTGTAAGGAAGTGGCAGATTTTTTCCGGCTGTGTATTTTCAAATTCTAGCGCACTCGAGCTGGTTTCTCCACAATGACCTACCCCACCTTTAAGTGATTAGAGTGTTGAAAGTAAGATTTTGAAGTGTATGCTTTGTGTAACAGGAAGCCAGTGCAGATTGTTTTTAATGTCTCAACACCTAATATGTCACTTAGTTCTTTAAATTGCTGTTCCTCATTTTCAGCCATGGTTTGGTTGTGTACTTATTTGTTTGTATTTGTATTCTATATGTGAGCTTTTCTTCGCTATATTTAATACATTATTTATTTATTTATTATTATCGTAATTTATTTTAAATATACTGCTGCTTTCTTTTACCAAGGTGTGCATATTTATTACTTTTTAATGTACAAATACTTTGTTACTGTACGATATCAATAACAATAATCCACAGCTCCTCTCTCTGCTCCAGAGGATAAAAAAAATTCAGGTGCCCCAAAAAAATGTTTCAGGGTACCCGAGCAGCACCCTGCCAAGGCAGTAAACCTAGGGGAAACACTGATCTGTATGACATATTTCAGTGTTTTATTACCTGGCTGCCCTCTCCGTTCTCCACATACACCAGGTCATCTTCATCTTCATCCTCCTCCTCCTCACCGTCCTCCATGAAGTTCTCGTCGTCGCTCAGCTCGATGATCTCTCCCGCCAGCTGTCTCCACTGCTCCTCCTCTGTCCCCTCCATACTCCCCTTCAGAGCCTCCCTCTGCTCCCCCTCCTCCACCTCCCCAAACAACATCAACCTGCCGTCCCTCTGCAGCTCCACCACGCTGCCCTCCACCGGCCCCACCTGCAGGCCGCTCAGAGGGTCTCTCAGAGGGTCGCTCAGAGGGTCTCTCAGAGGGTCTCCTGAGGACAAGGAGGATGAGGCCTCCGCTCCGATCTGAGCTGAGGAGTCTGGGAAGGAGCAGGAGTCAGACGACGCAGCGTGGTTTCTGTGAGAGCTTCCTGCGCTCTCAGAAACCCTTCGTCCACCTGCGTCCTCACAGCTGCCTTCTGCCTCCTCTTCCTCCACCCCCTGCTCCATCTTCAGCTGGAGCACCGGAGGCAGCACGTCCTCACTGGACTGGCTGCCGGTTAAAAGACTGTGTCCTCCCGGTGGATCCGCTGAGATCTGCCCGTAGCCGATATGAGAATCCATGTCTTCTGCCTTCAGGTGCAGAGACGCAGTCCCAGTGTGAGCCTCACGGCTGGCCCTGGGTTGGAAGAGAGGCGAGGGGGGGGCCGCGGCGGGGGTCGGGGCGGCAGATGGACCTGCTGATGAGGACAGAGAGGAACAGGAGGCGGCCGAGGAGCAGACGGAGGAGGCGGAGACACCTGTGGACGCAGCAGCAGCAGCAGAGACCATGCCTGAGTCCAGCTCCCCGGGACTCCCTGCCTTCACAGACACAGAGGCCTGCAGGTCAGGGAAGGTGGAGTGACAAGCCTTCATCAGCTCGTTCACACCCAGCCTCTCAGCCAGCTCGTACAGCACCCCCACATCGATGAGGTCGGTGAGGATCTCCCCCGTGTAGACGAACGTCAGCACCCTCTCAAAGTTAGCCGGGGAGATGAACTCCAGAGAGAAGGCGGCGGAGGACGTGGCCGGAGCCCGGGTGAACAGGTTACGGAAGTAGGACCCGGCGCAGGCCAGCACGGCACGGTGGGCTGCGAACGTGCGGTTGCCGACCTGCAGGAACACATCGCAGTACTGGCGTAATTGGCGGCAGCGGTTGAGCTCAGCGAGGAGGCCGGCAGCGTGGCCGGGACCCTGCAGCCGGATCCTCATCCTGCTGCTGCACCTGGAGCGCTACAGAACCACTGCAGGAGCACAGGAGGACCAACAGGAACACGTGTGTTAGTGAAACAGTATGGGGAACTCTTCCTAATTTCATAATTTATTCCATTATCATTTTTAAATGTTAAACTGCAAATTAAGGAATATCTTTGATACTTTTATGATTTTATGAGTTCATAAACACCAAGGTCATTAAAGGTTCTTATCATACTATATTTCGTCTTTGGGGACATTCAATAAAACAAAAACAAATATAAAGAAAAAAGCGTGTTCCCATATAAAACTAAATATACACTGATGTGGAAAACTCACCTTTTAGCAAAACAGTTTGAACAATTTTAACAAAAGCCAAAGAACATTTCTATCTAAATTACACTCAGTGGTTTCAATGTTAACATAATCAATGTAATCTTTTTTTTATTAAGTCAATGGTGACTACCCAACAATTGGTATTTCTCAATTTGGTTGCTGTCTTCAATTATAAATTATCTTTAAATAAAACAATATTTAATTATTATATTTCCCTTCAAACAAGTAATACATATATAGAAGAAACAGTATTCCCATGTACCCAACGACCTTGTACAGAATGATAACAAACTCACTTTTCAGTCAAACAGTTTGACAGATTAGTTTTGTTACTTTACAAACCCAGAGAACACTTATGTATGAAACTAAACTGAAGTATGCGACGCATTTTATGAGTGGATGGTAACCTCCCACTCCACTGGCTGTTTGTAACCATGGCTTCTGTCTTGATTTCTTCATCGACTAAAATAGTTTAAAAAAAATATGAATTTACAGTTCAATAATTATTAAATACAGACCTTTAAACACAGAGAGCTGGGACTTTGGTGAAGTATTCACATGTATTAAGGACCTTTTTTTGTAAACCCTTAAAATAAATATAATAACTATCAAGACATACAGTGTCAGTGACAGAGATTTAGAAATAAATAAAGCTGTGGATAATCTTTACTCTGCCTCCGACATACCAAAACAAACACACATTTCCTCAAGGAACCATAGAGGTATTAGTATTATACTCAAAATGTATTATAAGCCGTTAATTCCAACAAGAAGCTAACGCAGCATAGCCATGTTTTTATTGACTGTTCACTAAACCAGACACATTTTACACACTTATTCGAAACAAAAATCAACCTATTTTTAATGAAGTCACCTCGTTAGTATCCTTGTTATGACTTACCCATTTAAAATGTGTTTGTAGGCGAAGAATACTCTTCTCCTTTTATTATGATTTTCAGTCTGGAGCTCATTAAATCCCTTGTGATCTGCCGTCGCATTTTGGTGACGTATGTCAACAAAAGTGAACTGCGGACGCCCCCTTCAGTCTGAATGAGGAACTGCACCAAGTATGTTTCACTCAGTGATGGAGTACGATTTTTGTTTATTTAATTTTTGAAATGTCGTTGTGTTTTGTGAAAGGCTGTAGTGCTTTGTGAAAGGCTGCAGTGTTTTGTAAAATGCTGTAGTGTTTTGTAAAATGCTGTGGTGTTTTGTGAAATGTTGTAATGTTTTGTGAAAGGCAGTAGTGTTTTGTGAAAGGCTGTTGTGTTTTGTGAAATGTTGTTTTGACTTGCACTTCAGGGCCACCGTATTTAGATGATACCTTAAAAATAATCCTACTTTTAAGAACAGTTTACCAAAAGTAAAAGCCATCATCTTTCACAATGGCCGATTTTAGAAGAACATATGTTACTTCATCGAGTTATAATTATTGATGCCATTTCTGTGTATATCCCATGGATTGTATATATAAGGGTGTGTCCCCTTATTGTAGCTGGTAAAGGAGGATTTGTTATTTTTATTTAAAAATATTCTCCTAAATATACTGCCATGTAGCTGAATTCAACCAAAAACGTTTAATGTTGACCTGCAATTATAATACATACTGTATTATGTTTCACCTATAGTTGGTTACGTTTTGTATTATTAGTCTCAAATATAAATATTCAAAACAATTGAAGGTAATAATTAAATTGACTAAGAATTTTAGTGGAGTTGAACCATACAACCATAGACTAAATAAAATAGCAGAAAGTTCAACACAGAATAGTAAAAGTCCATTGTTGTTGTCTGCCTATATTTCTTACATTTAAAAAACCAGTAGATTACCAACAATTGCCATGCCACAAAGGAGAAGTATAGAAATTGTAAATTGTGATTCCGATTGTTACAAACCAACCAACGCACTGTAATGCGTATCGTGAGCACTGTCATAGTTCAGGGTCAAACCCCTAAAAGTGGTGATATAATCTAGAAAATAAAACTAAGCGAATTAGATATTTAATGGTAAAAGGGAAGAAAACAAAAATATCTAAATGCTGTATTTAAATAGTAGGCTACTTGAGTAAATGTATTATACATACATTCGACGACTAAGGCTAAGAATACGCCATAAACTGCATGTTGTTATAGGGGCAAAGAGAGACAAAATAAAACACAAAAACGATCCTAATAATGCTAATTAAAAAAAGTTTATTTTTATCCCAGTAACCATTTCTTCAGCTCATGAGAGACTCACACCACCCACAAAGTGTCAGAAACTGATGACACCTGCAACTCTTCATACTTCACTGTAAACTCATGGGATCGACCTACACAACAGTAACGTGAACAAAGTCTCTTTGCCGCCTGGCCATCCCAAATGAAATACCCACATGTTCACATTATGAAAAAGCATTTTGTTTACTGGATTATGCTTTTATGACGTGTAGGATAGTAAGAAATCATAACATAGACAATGATAAAAACAAACTTGACATATTTTCAAAACTACCAGTAGAAATCATTTACAAAATTGAGTCTTTGATTTTTCAGTTGTGTCTTCGTTACAGAGAGAACATTAAGTATGTAGTATAGATACATTTACAGTATAATAAAACGCCATATCTTTGACCTGTGAGAGTAACACTGACATATTTCTTATTCCAAACCATTCATTTTTCTAGTCTAAGCAGAAGTATTTCAGCTCATTCGTCACTGAAAAACTGTTTATATTGGCCAAACCAGCGTTTAAACTGCTGCAACAGGCACACATATCTAACAACATGACAAACTGTATTTGTAAAGCCAAAGAAAATAAGAGCTGTTTTGGTCCAGTCACAACACATTAGGCCAAGTACTTTTCCCACAAAGGTTCCTGAGAACTCTTTAGTTCTCATGAACTAAGTACAGATCGCGTTCACACCGGAAATTAGTTCCTAGGGGTGGATTAGGCAAATGAAGCCGCTGACGTGACTTCTTCTTCTTCTGCTTTGGGTTTACTGGCAGGCCGCAAACAACTTCACGGCGTATACTGCCGCCCAAAATCCCCGGCCGGAAGTCCCCGCACATAATCGACGTACAGACCAGGACATAGTGTACTAATAATTGTCATTTACTTGGACACCAAAGTGGGACTAGTATTCAAAAAGCGCAAGGAGTTTTCCAGAGCATTGACAAAACCCCCGGCACCCTTGCCTCATTGGGAGATCTCACCTATGCGTTTAGTTACAAAATGTAAGTAATTAATTTCTCTTTTCCAAGGACTAAGAATAGAGATTTAATTTGGAAACTCACTCACTTATAGTAGAGAAAACAGGAGGTCATGCCGTAGCTACAGTTCCGCTTTCTATTGGGCCGGTCTGCCGCTACTTTCGACCCGGTGTTTCTTGCCCTCGTTTTCCCACGTAGCTAATAGAACGAGGCGTAGCCGGACGGGGCGCTTTTGCAGCGGGAGGTGACGGTGCGGGCAGGAGAGGGCGGCGAGGGTCGGGCGGTCGGACCCGGGGCGTGGGCGAGGTCCTTTGCCCAGGAGCATCGCGCTCCTCGCGGCCTGTGCTGACGTACCTGCGAGTCACAAAATCTCTTGGAAAGTTTTTTTGTGTTTGACCTTATGAACTGTCTGAAGTTGGCATCATGATTCGAAGTTTTTCATCAAAGACTCTGACTTGTTTATAGTTTTTTGTTGAAATTTTCGTTATAAGAAGCTAAACAACTACTGAATACAAGCGACTTTTGACCCCAACAGCAACTGGAGTAAGTTTACTGAGTTTCAGTCTTGGGAAACATCGACATTCACATCTCGTCCTCTTGACGAAGAACAAAGTGAAGGGAGGTCCTCTTCACGTTATTAGGTTGTACTTTTCCGTTGTTCAAACTCTCCACAGGCCTACTGACAGCTCCCACGACGAAAAATAAGTAATCCGCGCAAGTGGGTTTCATGAAAAGGATGTTGCCAAGGACTCTTTGATGCGAAATCAACGCAAGTGGTTTCCAGGTCCTTGATTTAATCAAAGATCGCTTTGAAAAAATGGGAAAAGGCAGTCTTCGTCCCTGAAAGCACCCTATTTGTTCCAAGGACACCAGACTAACCGACCGCCTTACGTTTGTGCGGGGCAGTTTTGAGGGTTTCTGAAACGCACTTCGCGGTAAAATAATAGGAGCGTAACGAAATAATCGTAATCGTAATCGGTCGGCGTTTTTGCGTCTCTCTGATTTAATACTGTTGTGTTGGTATTTGGTAACCCTCGCCACCTCTACTCTCTCTCACAGCCTCAAGACCGGCAAATGAGCCCGGT